GTTGTTATTTTCCAAAAGTAAAACATGAATTTAGAACATTTTAAAGGAGAAACTAACGATTAGCTGGCCAAAGCATAACTAGAGTGTGTTAGTAACTCAAAAAGAAGCTGCCGGAAACATTGTAATTTTTAAACATTTTTAAATGAATAGTTTTATCTTCAAATGGAAAGCCTCCACATTCATCCTCTTTGTGATAAAGTTAAAAACTTTGCATCCTAATAAAAATGTGATATAGTTCTCTAACTGATTGATTTTAACATTGTAAATTTGAGATTATTCTGACTGGAGGAAAAAAAATCGTGAAAGTGGAGGACAGAGGACCGGTGTTTCTTTTTCACTAAGCCTGGACCTGACTGAAAAAAATGTTGGTTATAGAACAGAACAGAGAAAACAAAAATGTTTCTAAGACATTGTTTCACTGAGTTATGAAAAAGCTAGTTTAAATAGGTCATTTGTGGCTTTCAAATATAAATAAATTATATACAAAAAGTGACTGCCTAATTTAAATTTATATACATTTCAGAAGCAAATACAATTGAATTATGTATATAATCACATTCAGGGTTTTGTTTTATTTGGTTTGGTTTTCTGTTTTGAGACAGAGTCTTCCTCTGTTGCCCAGGCTGGGGTGCAGTGGTTCGATCTGGGCTCACTGCAACCTCTGCCTCCTGGGTTCAAGCAATTCTCCTGCCTCAGCTGTCGGGTAGCTGGGATTACAGGCACGCGCCAGGATGCTCAGCTATTTTTGCATTTTTACTAGAGACGGGGTTTCACCATGTTAGCCAGGCTGGTCTCAAACCCCTGACCTCAAGTGATCTGCCCGCCTTGGCCTCTGAAAGTGCTGGGATTAAAGGCCTGAGCCACCACACCTGGCCCAGGGTTTGTTTTTTTGATTACGTAAGTGTGTCTATCACATTAGTGAAATTAAAAATTAGGATCAGTAGTAAAATCTGTGAAGTTTGAACAAAATGCAGCCAACCACCCCACAAAGAATTTACCCCACGACCTTGACCTTGTTGAAACAAAGATTTATCAGGCTAGAAGAGGCCACCAGAGCAAAAAATAAATCTAAATCTTGAGGACGGGATGTCACAGAAGATGGTGGTGTAGGAAGCTCCAGGAATTCATCCCTCCTTCTAAGCAGCCATCAGCTGGGCAGGAACTGTCTGAAGCAACTGCAGATGCTCCTCTACTCACGATGGAGTTAGACCCTGATAACCCCATTGTGAGTTGAAATATGCTAAGTCAAAACTGCGCTTAATACACCTGACCCACCAAACATCACCACTTAGTGTAGCCTACCTTAAACGTGCTCAGAACACTTACATTAGCCTCTAATTGGGCAAAATTGATATGGACAGGAGGCAGGGAAGTACTAGGTAGTGAAGGGCAGGATTCTTGGCAAGGGCTCCACCCTCGGGCCTCTGCCCACGGACCTGTGAGAACAGGCACTCCCGTTTTCACGCCCAAATGTTACATTTCCAAGACCACTCTGGCCCACCACACCCCCCATCTTGTGCCCACAGAAACCGGAGACCTCTGGCTGGGTGCCGTGGCTCATACCTGTAATCCCAGCACTTTGGGAGGCTGAGGCAGGTGTCACAGAGTCAGGAGATCGAAACAATCCTGGCAAACATGGTGAAACCCCGTCTTTACTAAAATCCAAAAAATCAGCCTGGCATGGTGGTACACACCTGTAGTCCAGGAGAATCGCTTGAACCCAGGAGACAGAGGTTGCAGTGAGCCAAGATCGAGCCACTGTACTCCAGCCTGGGTGACAGAGCAAGCCTCAGTCTCAAAAAACAAACAAACAAACAAAAAACATGAACATCAAAAGGAGTAGAGGAACAGGGTGGTGGAGAGCAGTGGGGTAACACAGCAGAGAAAGAGAGAAGAAGGACATCTGGACACCAAGGGGCATTTGGCTGGGGGCGGTCAGAGAACAGTCCGCCTGCCTGACTCCAGGGGAAGACCACCTTCCCACCCCGTTCTCCACTTCTGGCTCCCCATCCAGCTCACTGAGAGCCACCTCCACCACTCAAAAAAACCTTGCACTCAACCTTCCTTGCACTCAACCACTCAACCTCAGCCCACATGGATCTGATTCTTCCAGTACACTGGGCAACAACTCAGGCTGTCACACCGGCTCCTCATCCTTGGTGATAAGGCAGAGGGTCTGTTGAGCTGACTAACACAAGCTGCCTGCCCACGGCATAGCTGAATGAGAGCACATTGTAACAAATGCTCAGTTGGGCTTCAGGAGTCCTAGATGCCAGCCGTGGGGCCGGAGCCCAAAAGCACTCCCCATAGCCTCTGCACCCGCCCGTTGCATGCTGCCTGCTCCCCCAAAGGGTTTGAGCAGCAGGGCACCAAAGGAGCAAGCCACATCCCTGTGAGGGTCATAACTGAACAATTGTGTTTCATCATCTAACACAAAGCCTATTTTATAACACAGGGTTGAATAGCTCATGTAACTTACTGGATACGGTACTAAAAGTGAGAAGCAGCACGGGTGTATGGTCTTCGAAATGTGGTTTCTACTGAATGCACCACTTCTACTTTGACATCATTGTAAAGTTGAAAAATCATTATGTCTAACAATCCTAAGTCAAGGACCATCTGTATTTTGGAACTCGAGTCTAGTCAAAACTTTGAGCATCCAAGAAACAGCTTGATAAAGAGGCTGGTACATTTCAGTGAATTTCAGCCTCTCCCTGTTGTCATGGCTGTGCCAGGCAGCTGTCAGGGAAGCAGCCCACATACCCAGCGCAGCCTGCTGAGGCCAGGCCGGGCAACAAGGATTTAGTCCTCCAAATGTCAGGACTGTGTGTTCTGATTGGTGCTTTTATTTGCTTTCATCACTTCTCTTCAACCTAGTACCGGAAGTCCTAGCTAGAGGCCTTAGAAAAGAAAAAAAAGAATAAAAGTATTCAAGTTAAAAAGGAAGAAGTGAAATTATCTCTTACACAGATGGCCTGATTTTAAATGTAGGAAGTCCTAAAGCTTCCAACACACACATACACACACACACACACGCACACACACACACACACACACACAGACAACTGTAGAGCTAATAAATTCAACAAAGTTGCAGGACATAAAATCAAAACACAAAAATCAGTTGTATTTTGATGTAATGAACAATCTGAAAATAAAATTAAGAAAACAATTCTATTTACAATAGGATCAAAAAGAATAAAATACTTAGAAATAAATTTAACTACATAGACAAAAGACTTGTCCACTAAAAACTACAAATGGGTGCTGAAAGAGAAAGACCTAAATAAATGGAAAGATACCCTGCGTTCATAAAATAGAAGACTTAACAATATTGTTAAGATGTCAGTATTATCCAATATAATCTGTAGACTCATGCAATCCCTATCAAAATCGCAACAATTTTTTTTTTTTTTTTTGCAGAAATAAACTCCATCCTAAAGTTCATATGGAATTTCATGGGAGTCCGCACAGCCAAGATAACTCTGAAAAATAATGAGTTGAAGGATTCACACTTCCTGATTTCAGATCTCACTACAAAACAACAGTAACCTAAACAGTGTGGTACGGGCATAAGGATAGCCATATAAGACAATGGAATAGAATAGAGAGGCCAGAAATAAACCCATGTGGGCAGTTGATTTCCAACAAGGTACCTAAAGCATTCAATGAGGAAATAACAGCATTTTCAATAAATGGTGCTGGGAAAACTGGCCATCCACAGGCAAAAGAATGAAATTGGACTCTTACCTTACACCAGATACAAAAATTAACCCAAAATGGATCAAATGCCTAAACCTAAGAGCTAAAAACTATAAAACTCTTAGAAGACAATAGGAGGGAAGAAAATCTTCACAACATTGGATTTGACAATGATTTCTTGGATACAATACCAAAAGCACAAGCAACAAAAAAGTAGATAAATAGGCCTTTATCACAATTAAAAACGGTGTGCATCAAAGAACACTCTCTGGAAAGTGAAAAGACAGCACAAAATAGAAAACATCTGCAAATCACATGTCTGATAAGGGATGAATATTCAGAATATATTAACAACTACAACTCACTAACAACAACGAAACCAAATACAAAACGGTCAGTGGGCCTGAATAGACATTTCTCCAAAGAAGATATACAAGTGGCCAATAAGCACATGTAAAGACGCTCAATATCATTAGTCATTAGGGAAATGTAAATCAAAATCACAATGAGATACAGTTTCACACCCAAAAGAATTGTTATTATTAAAAGAGAAAAACAGAGAATAACAAGTGAAGGTGAGACTATGAGAAATTGGAACCCTCAGGCATTGCTGGTAGGACTGTAAAATGGTGTAGCCATTGTGGAAAACAGCTTGGCAATTCCTCACAAAGTTATACATATAATTATCATATGACTGCCCATTCAACTTCTAGTATATACCCAGAAGAACTGAAAATAGGGACTTAAACAGATATATGTACAACAGTGTTCAAAGGAGTATTATTTATGATAGCCAAAAAGTGAAAGCAGCTCAGGTATCTGTTAGCAGATAAACAAATGTAGTATGTATATACAGTGGAATATTATACAGCCATAAAAAGGAATCCTGATACCTGTTATATGTACAATGCTTCAACATATTGCTAAGTGAAATAAGCCAAACATAAAAGGACAATTATGTGATTCCACTTACGTGAGGTACACAGAATAAGTAAATTCACAGAGATAGGAAGTAAAGAGTTTACTAAGGGGTGGGGAGGTAGACAATGGAGGAGAATGAAGAGTTATTGTTTAACAGTCACAGAGTCCATTGGATGTTGGATGATGGAAAGTTCTAGAAATAGAGAGTGGTGATAGTTAAACATCATGGTGAATATATTTAAAGCTATTGAATTGTACAGTTCAAATGACTGTAATAACAATTGTCCTATGTACCCTTTACCACATTTCCTTTAAATCCAACTCATGCCACACCATCTACACCCTTCTACTAAGTTCTGGTTCTGAATTTTGGTTAGCTTCTGATGATGGTGGTTATTTTTAACTAGTCCTTTCTTCAAGCTAAAAGATAAAGGAAATTCTCATTTTTTTATTGGCAAGACAATCGCTGAACTATGTCATTTCCTCCTAGACTTTCTCAAACCTCAGCCACCTCCTACCCACTCAGTTTCATGTAAGATGAACTTCGCTCTGAAATAGTTCTGAGAAAACTAGCCAATTTTTTCATAACCTGTTACATAATTTCTTACAGATAAAACTGGTAAGCCATTCAGAAATGGTGTTTTTCAGTAAGCCTATCTTTTAATGAACAAATTTACTCAAATCTTATCAAGATAATTCCTACTCAGCCAGAAGAAAAAAAAAGATACGATGCAGCTGAGTAAAAATTTAAAGATTTAGATCATCTTATATCTCACAGTTTTCAGTCCTCGTCAAAATACAGCAAAATATCTACAACGCATTTACAGTTTAATAGAAAATGACTACATCATAGCAATCCAATTTCTTTGCATTTAATTACTTACATAAAATTAGGCTTTAATTGTAATTGTCTTCAGATAATAGATTTATCGTAATCTACAATGTGTAGATTTATGCTATTTGAAGGACCTATGAGTTTTGTCTTTCTATAACCAATACTTTGTTTCATTTGGTTCTGTTTGTCTTGGCACATGTCATTTTAATATACTAAATTTTACAAAGTAATTTAATTAGAAGACTATTTGAACCATTTAATTTTTGAAATACATTTTTAGAATAAGATTAAACATGTATTTGTAATCTGAAATTGACATATACTTTACCAATGGAAACCAAGACACAAAACTGTTGGGCTGATTCTTCAGAACAACCCTAACTATGTAAGGTTATATATAATTTTTAGCAATTTGAAATGCAAATTTTCTATTTATTCACTCAAATATCCCGGAATACTTCTAAGGCATCTGAGTTAAATATTTAAAAGAGAAAAGTTTTGTAGAGAAAGAAGGTATTCCTTAAATATCCATTATTTCCATTTCAATGTAAGAATAATTATGTTAAAATAAAAGTCTTATTAAAAATAGGCATATCTTAGAAAATTAAGATTTGCGTATATATAAATGCAAACTTTCACAGCAAGTGTTACTTTAGTAAATATTATCCTCAAATTCACATAAAATCAATTTATAATATGTTTAAGACTACTTTTTAAAGTAACGTTGCCAGTTTTACCAACACATTTTGGTGAAAAAATCATTCATAAAAAACATACCTACTCTATAACATGCACTCAAATTTGTCAAATGATTAAATCAATGAAATGTCCAAAAAGTAATCTTTAGAATAGATGTGGTAATATATGTAAAAGCTCTTATAAATAATCAATTGTTAATACAAATATGTTAGTAAAACTATTAATCGCTGGTACTCAGGGATGTAGAGGCTGTGCATTGTCCCACCTGAAGGGGCGCTGTATGATTTAGATTTCATTAATTAATGTCACCTTGTACAGATTGGAAACGCCCTTCTAATGCAGTTGGATCTGGTTCTCAGTGTCTCTATGTGGGCAGGTATACATACCTGTTTCTCTGTTTTCTCAACTTCTGACTCTACTATATGTGTGTTTGGATCCGATTATCACAGAGCACAGAAGGTGGATGTGAGACAGGCTATCAGGAAGCTGAAAACTGTGTAAAGGCTGCAATGGTTAACACCGAGTATCAACTTGATTGGATTGAAGGATACGAAGTATTGTTCCTGGGTGTGTCTGTGAGGGTGTTGCCAAAGGAGATTAACATTTGAGTCAGTGGATGGGGAGAGGCAGAGCCACCCTCACTCTGGGTGGGCACCATCTAAGCTGCCAGCACAGCTAGGATAAAAGCAGGCAGAGGAACGTGGGAGGACTTGACTGGCTGAGTCTTCCTGCCTTCCTCTTTCTCCTGTGTCGGATGCTCCCTGCCCTTGAACATCGGACTCCAAGTTGTTCAGCTTTCGGACTCAGACTTACACCAGTGGTTTGTCAGCGGCTCTTGGTCCTTTGGCCACAGACTGAAGGCTGCACTGTCGGCTTCCATATTTTTGAGGTTTTAGGACTCGGACTGGCTTCCTGCTCCTCAGCTTGCAGACAGCCTACTGTGGGACTTCACCTTGTGATCGTGTGAGTCAGTCTTCCTTAATACACTGCCTTTCATATATCCATCTCTCCTATTAGTGCTGTTCCTCTAGAGAACCCTAACACAAATGCACCTCTCATAATGAAACAGACATCCCAACGAGAGATTTGCTTAAACACAGAATTTTAATTAACATGTAAAAATAGCCCCGTTGTGAAATAAAGTGTCTTTAACCATTTCATTTTTTTTTCTTCTATTATATACTATATCTTCTATGGAGTATAAGTAGCTTTTTTTTTTTTTTTTGAGACAGTCTTGCTCTGTCGCCAGGCTGGAGTGCAGTGGCACGATCTTGGCTTACTGCAACCTCTGCCTCCCAGGTTCGAGCGATTCTCCTGCCTCAGCCTCCCGTACTTTGAGTTCTATAGTTTCTAAGTAGCACATTGTTCTTTTTTGTGAAAAGCCATTGATATATTCACTATGTAAGGCCCTGCTCCAAGGAACGCAGCACAAGGCAATCATTAATTAGGCAAACAGCATGTCGCCCAGCACAGTAGGCCTTCAGCAAGCAATTTAATTTCCGTCTTGGTTCCTATGCCTGAATTCAATTGTCATTCAGTGAAAGGGGGCCTCAACAAGGTAAACAAGACTGTATCATTTACACATCAAAATTTCAAACATTAACATTTACAAAGAAAAGATACTAAAAAAGTCTATTACAGGTATTAGAATTTTTTGTAAAATTATAGCATCAATAAAATTTTATAAAATTACACAATTATTTTATTATTATAATGCAATAACATTATTAGACTATATATTAATAGTCTTATCAGAGATTAATTTTTAAATGTACTTTCCTGTAACTGTATTTGACTTTTTTTTTGAGACAGAATTTCGCTCTGTCAAGCAGGCTGGAGTGTAGTGGTGAGATCTCAGCTCACTGCAACCTCTGCCCCCCAGGTTCAAGCAATTCTACCGCAATTACTTTTGTACCAACCTAATAATTTTAATAATACATGTAACTTTTAATTACAGTGTAGAACTATCAATGTTTTCCCAGTGTAATTTGCTGTAATACCTATTAAACACCATAGAATTGCACTCAATAAACATGTGTACACTCTAATTAATATATTAAATTAGCTACTCAATTTTCCTCCTACACACAATCTTTTGTATATGCCTTCATTATTTGTATAAAGTGTTGTGACTTCTGAAAATATCAGGCACATTAATATTAAAATATTAAATACAAAATGCACTCTAAACTCAAGTAATACTTCTGAGTTTATCCAAGCACTGGTTCTAAGTTCTAACATAGAGATAAATATATGTTTACATAAAATATTTTCATATTTAGGAATATTATAAATTAATCCCTTGATTATAGGCTTTTCTTAATAATAAAAAGCTATCCATGGCAGAATTTGAAAGAAATTACTTGTATTATAATTTTTTTTAGGTGAGTTTCACTCTTGTCACCCAGGCTAGAGTGCAAAGGCGCAAACTCAGCTCATTGCAACCTCTGCTTCCTGGGTTCAAGTGATTCTCCTGCCTCAGACTCCTGAGTAGCTGAGACTACAGGTGCGTGCCACCACCCCTGGCTAATTTTTGTATTTGTAGTAGAAACAGGGTTTCACCATGTTGGCAAGGCTGGTCTCGAACTCCTGACCTCAAGTGATCTGCCTGCCAAGGCCTCCCAAAGCGTTGGAATCACTATGTGAGCCACTGCGCCAGGCCTTGTATTATAATTTTTTTAAGTTATAAGTCTGGTAAGCACCTGCCGGGTTGGTTGATGAGGAGAGAGATGCATTGTTAAACAAGATGCTTTCAGGCTTTTCTTTAAGGAATTTAAAGATGAATAGGACATTCAGAAAAGTAAACACATAATGTAAGTATGAATAAAATGCTGTAATTCAGATTCTATGGGAACTCAGAGGAGAGACACTCAAATGTCCAATGAACAGAGGTTTGTGTCCATTTTAATCTACACGTTCAGCAGATTGATCACTTTTGAACACAATACTGCTCAATGAAAAAGTAGTCTGAATTAACCTTAAGATTGTATTATTTTTCACAAATGCAAGGTTTAAATGATAATTCCCAGAGGGCGAGCAGGGACACAGAGAAGAATAAAGCAGAAAATTTCTAAAAATGCATTGAGATACTTGTTTCTTGGAGACTTGTTACCAATCCAGTGCTTAACATTTATCAAATAATGTGCTTTGCCAACTGCCAGATGATGTGCCCAGGGGATTCCTTAGCCTTTAATCCTCCTAACCTTATTGATGTAGTACTAGTGTTACGGTCATCTTTTAGATGTGGAAACAGAGGCCCACAGAGGTCAAAGAACCTACCTCAAATCAGAAAGCTGGAAGGTAAGCTTTTAACAGCTGTGAGCAGATCTTCTCTAACAGTGTGACAAAAATCCTAAAACACAGGGAAAGGGAGACGAGGTGGCAGGGGGTGGGGCATTTGGTGAAGCGTAGAATAACACAAGGTCAAATTCTCTTTTATTTTTTCTTAGATGGGCGTCACTCTGTCGCCCAGGCTGGAGTGCAGTGGCATGATCATAGCTCACTGAAGCCTCGATCTCCTGGGCTCAAGCAATCCTCCTACCTCAGCCTCCTAAGTAGCTGGGACTACAGGTGCATATCACCACACCCAGCTAATTCTTGTATTTTCTGTAGAGGTAGGGTCTCTCTATGTTGCCCAGGCTGGTCTCAGACTCCTGGACTCCAGTGACCCACCTGCCTTGACCTTCCAAAGTGCTGGGATTACATGCGTGAGCCACCACACCTGGCTACATGTTGAATTCTTAAGCTATTGGTTACCACAGATCATTGAAGAAACTGACCATATAAACCACTGCTCTTGCATACATAAGCCTCTCACAAATCTCTCTAGCACCTGAAAATTTCTATCAAATGAACAGCATTGACTGGGAATATCAGAGAGTGTCCCAACAGGGTGAAAACAAGTTGCACGACTTTGTAGCTAATTATTTCATAACATCAATATATTCATGATATAGTATCACATAAGACACTGATACATTGGCCATTATATCTGTAAGCTGAACTTTTAATTTTAAACAGGGCTTGTACTTGATTATCACAGTATCAAATTCCACAAATAAAATATTCTTTTACTTTGAAAACTCTGTCTTCACTTTATGGCTTTTTATTATGAAACTTTATCTTGTTATTACTGATGTACCTTGACTTCATCATACTATACAACGCTCATATTAGTACTTCAGTACTGGCAAAACAGCTAAGCCTTAAACTCAGACTAATATCTATTAAAGTGCATTGCTTTTTATGCTGAAATCAATTTATTAAATAAAAGTCCCTTGCCACAATGGAATAAAGAATATAATTCCATGTTTGAAGGAACCCCTAAAACTACAATTTTCAAATTTTTAAAAGGTATAATCTAAAAATGATTCAATAACTTCAAGTGTGTTTTTTAAAACTAAATTTAATCAATCAATTTATATAATGTTCTCTAATTTATATAAAAGATAAAAATCTTATTCTTGGGCTAACTTGATAAAAAAAAAAAGGTTCTTAGTTTTTAAAAGGGCTCTACTGAAGAGTATTCTTAGAAAAAGTGTGGTATACCTCAGTGGTCCCCAACCTTTCTGGCACCAGGGAACAGTTTTGCGGAAGACAATTTTTCCATGGCTGGGGGTGGAGGTGGGGGTGGGTGGGGGATGGTTCTGGAATGAAACTGTTCAACCTCAGATCATCAGGCATTAGATTCTCATAAGGAGCACAACCTAGATCCCTCGCATACGCAGTTCACAGCAGGGTTTGAACTCCTATGAGAATCAAATGCCACTGCTAATCTGACAGGAGGCAGAGCTCAGGCAGGAATGCTTAGCTCGAGGCTCACCTGGTGCTGTGAGGCCTGATTCCTAACAGACCACGAACCAGTACCGGGACCATGGTCTGTGGGTTGGGGACCTCAGTATACATAACTAACTAAAATTAACAACTCACATTTTCTAGAAATACCTGAGAGCCAATGTCTAAGAATATAACTTTGCTTAAATTTAGCACCATTTGTATATGTAAAAAAAAAACAACTGATACGCTAGTTAGTAAAAATGGCTTATTCTCTACAATGTAGTTATTTCTTTTATAGTGCAAAAATGTACACCCTAAGAAAAAAAAGGATTACAAATGTGCACACAGGTATCACAAAGAGGTCTTACTCGATCCCATTTTCTTTTTAAAATGGAGACATTTCAAAGGCAGAAAAAGACCTGAGTCTGGTTAGATAATTGAAGTAAATGTAAGAGAGAGTCACGAGGACATTTTTACACAGGCCCAGCACGGGTGTGATGGTCCCCAGCGCAATGATTAAGCCAAGTCTAACAAAAATAAATGGTAAATCTTGCAGCAGGATGTCCAGGGAATTGAGAAGAGGGTTTTGGGGAGTGAATGTAATTCGAAGGAGAGAAATAAAACTGAATATGTAGACTGGGTACAGCCAGGTTGACTTGTATACTTTGGGGTGACCGGCCACACGCACCATTTCTATCGTGTCAGACCACAGGAGAAAGCTCCATAAGAATATCTCTGCGCGGACATCTCTCAGGGACATCGTTCTCAGGATTCCTGAGTCACAGGAGGGCTCCTGGGGCCCCATGAACACAGACACCTGGCTCTGTGTCCTGGCTCCTGATGGCTGGGACACCTGGCTGCTGCCGGTTGCCTGGGGAGATGCAGCGTTGTCTTGACTTTGCCTCACGTGCTCTGTCACAGTTTTTACTTGTTGCAAAGAGGTTGAATGGATGTGTCCATTTTGACTACCTGCAATAAACAGATTTATTTACATTTTAGTTCAAACGTTATTCAAATTTAAAATTCCATTTAATGGTGGAATTCTCCATATTCTTTTTTTCTTCACTTAATTTTATTTTAAGTTCCAGGGTACGTGCACAGGACATGCAGGTTTGTTACATAGGCAGATGTGTGCCATGGTGGCTTGCTGCACCTGTCAACCCATCACCTAGATATTAAGCCCCGCATGCATTACCTAATTAACCTGATGCTCTCCCTCCACCCATATTCTATTATTTGAGGCCGATTTTACCCATGGAACTCCAAGATAACACTGAAATAGCACAGTGAAAAAACACAGAGGTAGAGAAGGCTTTTGGTGTCTTGGTATTTTCCTGGATTCAGATCCAAAGTCATTTTTTACCACTCCATAATAACAAACAGTTTTGGTTTCTAAGCTATGCACTTTCACACATGATCTCATTTAATCCTCAGAACAAAGGTAAGAAATAGGGATTACTATCCATTTTACAACTATGGAAACTGGGGCCTGAGAGGTTAAAAGATACCCATATTCAAACACAGTTACTATTGGGCAGAGTTGGAATTCACACCTAGATTTGTTTGA